GCCAGATCTGGGTTGGGAAATACCTGGAGATTTTGGGGGTGGAGCCAGGGGAGGGCGGGGTTTGGGGAGGGGAGGGGCCTCAGCAAGGGGTCTCAGAGAGCTCGCCCTCCAGACCAGCCATTTTCTCCAGGGGTCACCTGGAGATCAGTTGTAAGAGTGGGAGATCTCCAGGTATTACCAAGCATGGACGGCTTCAAAAGGGAATTAGATAAGCATCTGGAGCAGAGGTCCATCAGTGGCTATTAGCCACAAGGTATAGATAGGGGCTCTGGGGCAAGTGATGCTCTGTCTTCTTGGTGCTTGGGGGGGGGTCAACAGTGGGAGGGCTTCTAGTGTCCTGGGCCCACTGCTGGACCTCCTGATGGCACTGGTATTTCTGGTCACTGTGTGACACAGAGTGTTGGACTGGATGGGCCTTTGGCCTGATCCAACATTGGCGTCTCTTGTGTTCTTATGTTAACACCTGATGGAGTGAGTGCCCGCCCACAAATCCCGCTGCTGGAATACACCCTGTCAATGTTCCCTCTAAGCCGTGGAGTCTTGTGAGCAAAAATTCTACTTTGTGTGCTACTGGCATTAAAGTTGTGAGCGAGCGATTTGGCTGCTGCATAAATTAGTTTGCTCTGGAGCCATCCTTCCTGAGCTAAGGCGAAAATGTGTGAGCCGGAGGCTAAAAAATGGTGAGCTAGCTCACACTAACTCAGCTTAGAGGGAACATTGCACCCCGTTCACCTCCAAGGTGTTGCTGGGCCTCCTGCTCGGCTTGGGGAGATGCCCAAGGCCAAGGGTCCCCGACCTTTCTGAGCCAGCGAGTATCTTGGGCAATCGGGCGTCCACAAAATGGCTGCTCTAGGAGGTGGAGCCAGCCACAAAACGTCAGAGAGTGATGCTCTGCGTAGCTCTGTTTGGTAGCTCTTTTTTCCTCCCTTCAGATTTAAATTTTTATTTTGAGAAAATTAGAACACAAAGTCGCATAAAAAATACGTCTTACAGAGAGAGTCATCGTACA